TTCTTTTTTTGGTACTGGGAATTGAGTGACATGTTCTTGATGTGACACTATTGAGAAATGTGCAGAGCAGCTTAGCAAAGTTTATATTTTTGTGAGTGTACATAACTCATTTGTTTGTGGAACCCTCCTGGTAAGAGTTTGGATGTGTAGAAGGCCCAGAAAGGTATTGGAGTTGATTGCACATGGGATACTTGGAGCAGTTAAGTAAACACTACATCAAACCAAGTTGTCCATATCTTGATTTAGAGGGAAATGATTCAGAACATACTTGCTCTGATTCTACAAATGCATGATATGAAACTTTATACCTATTTAAGTGAACAAGGGTTATAAGGAAGACCAGATTCCTTTGGCAATGGGACTACAGGTCATTTCTATGGTCAAGCCCTAAGCCATGACCCGGGGAAGTTACCTTTCTTTGATCTTAGTGCTGGTCAGCATGAGTTCTCACCTGTACAGACCCTTGTGTGCTCACTTGCACCCTAGACCAGCACTGGCCACTGTTGGAGTTTTCATGCTCCTGCTCTGGGTTGATGGAGACCGAGTTGCCACATGGTGTGCTGATGATCTGCACAGAGCTCTGCCAAGAGAGTACCTGACATTTGAGCCACAAGTTATCATTCACTCCTCCTGGCCATCCCCACACAGCGCCCTCATAGAAAAATCTCTCCACGTTAGGCGGCATAGGGTGGTATATGTATAATCTTGAGACAGAGAGGTGCGAGAGGACAGCTTGAATCAGTTGATTAACCTCCCATCAGATAAACTGATCCCCAATAATCCCGTAACTATAGACCTTCGATGCCTGTCATACTTCCAACCATGAAGTAGGAAATAGGAAGTGGACAGGTCAAAGTTGGGACACTTTAAATCTCCCCCTGTTTGGGTCAACCCCTGCACATCCCCCCAAATCCATTGGTGAATGACTGCCCTTAAGAGGCTGGCATTGGCATGGGGTTATCTCTCTTACTTGTCGGCTCCTCCTGAACATTAGCTTGAAACATCCACAGTGAGGTGGGAACCAAGATCTGAAAAGGCTCTGGTTCCTGTGCCTTTTGCGGCTAGAACTTTGGAAACCAGGAAAACAGCAAAAGCTCATCTTCTACTCTTGAATGTCTCCCTCCAAGTGATCAGGGCAGGAGATAGATTCAAAAGTGTGGAGGCTTGGTTACCAGAGTTCCAAGCCTTGTTGGGTTCTATCACCGAGGTCATGAGGTCATTTCTTCAAAATTCCATTACAGTTAGGATGAGGAAGGGGATGAATGTTAGGGTGAGGGAACAAGATGGCGTTTGGGTTGAGGTTTGTTGGGATGTAGTGGAGGTTTAACATGAGATTTGCACTGTGTTATGGCTGAGAATGAGAGATGAAGTGTTAGAAATTAGGTTCCAGGTTTTTGAAAAGTATTTCCTTCTTAGTACATCCTTGCAGTAGCTGTAGTTACACACAGTGGGGAGTAGGTGCACATTCACCGTAGAGTTGTTTTGTAATCCCCTTCCCTCTTCCTCTTCTAAATCCCTTTTGCTTGATTTCATTAATGTTATTAAACTCATCTCATGCATAAAACACACAGTGCTCACATTCACTTAGCAGATTAAATTCCTGCACATGGCATATCTTTATTCTCTTTATTTTCCGTTATGTGTAGATAGTACATTTTCTTTACACAGTCACCAGTGGATACACAGATGGCTTCCTTGATTTTGCTCTTAAGACCATGCTGCTATAAACCTTGGCTCTTTCTGTTACTCAGGATTTGGGTAGGGATTAGCATTGTAATTGAGTTTAGGGTTTGGGTTTAGGGAGATAAAGATCTAAGGGGGATGTGGGACATTTTCTTGTTATTGAGAATAAATAAGCAACAGTCCCAATTTATGAGGAGATGTTTATTTGAGCTAATGGTTTTTTAAGGGTTCAGTTTTGTTTGGGGGAATAAGTAAAGGAGGTGTATGGTGCAGAGTCAGCTTTGGGATTGGAATGAGGGCTAGCTTAGGCCCACGTTTAGGGCTACAGTAAGTGCTAAAGGTATTAAATATAGTGTTAGGGGCAGTGGTTAGTGGTTAGGATTAGATTTCAAAAACAGAGTTCGGGTTCAGATTAGGAATTAGGGCAGGTTTTAGTGATTAGTCTTGGGGATCAGTGTGAGTTTCCAGTTGGGAGTTAAGGTTAGGGTTACATTTATGATTAATACTGCAGGATACAGGTCCAGTTGGGATAATATCAGTGTCAGAGCTGGGGTCATATTTAGGGTTCAAGTTAGGGTTAAGGTAAAGTTTAGTGTTTAGGTTTTGACATTGGTTGAGTTTAATCTGTGTTTATAGAAGCAGAGTTAGGGATAGGATGAATGGTGGAGGACTATGGTTAGTTTTCATCTCTTTTGTTTTAGAGTGAGGGGTGGGATTAGGAATCAGAGTGGGTGATGTTGTCAGTGTTATTGTAGGGTATTGTCAGTGTTAGGGTAGGGGAGCATGAGTAATAGGTTTGGGGTTACTGCTCATTTATGCTTAGCTCATTGCTTAGTTTTAGTGTTATACTCAGAGTCTTAGGGTTATAAAGTTAGGGTTAGTGTTATGTTAGAGTTAGGATTATTTTCTAATAGGATGAATCTTTGGGGAGGGTTAGTTCCTGATAATTGTTGGGTTATATATAGGGGTCGGTGTACTGGGAAGATGAGGTTTATGCAGAAAAAGAACAGATGTGAAAAACAACAACAACAAAAAAATGAAACCATAAAAACAAAGAATTTTCCTGGATGTAAAGGATGTAGCATTCAGTTAAGGACATTATCCAACTGGATAGAAGAGCCATTCCAAGCCAAGTACTTTCTAAAAGAGATGAACTTCATATGTACATGAAATTTTAAAAACAGTAAATCAATGTGGAAACATTCCAAAAAGGAGTAAGAATCACAATGCAAATACCATAATTAGAAGTGCTGTAACGGCTGTATTGATATCAGTTGAAACAGAGTTAAAGAGAAAGACTGTGAGCATACGAAGTATTACATTTAGTAAAGAAGATCCACAGATATCAGTGGGTAAGATGTGCCACTTGATTCGAGGAAAAATGTGATATCATGTAGGAGAGCAACTCAATAAATGAAAAGCCTTTTTGGTAGCTAGATATTATTATGGAAAATGTCCTACATCTGTACTCCTGAGATAATATTGAAGCCTGCACAAATATTTTAGGAAAATATTCTTTTTGTCCTGTATGTTTTAAGAGTACTTTTGTACTGTATATAAAGGAAGCTCTAGAGGCAGAAATAGTTTACAGAATGAAAAGTACCATAATAATTTAAAGATGAAACGAGCAAAACTCTGAAAATTTAAACCTTTTTCAGAAATACACATTTGCAAAAAAAATGAGGTATGAGCAGCAGTGTGCAGAAAATGGTAGTGGTGAGCTTTTCTGTTGTGTCTTCTAGGACTTGGGCAGTAAGGAAGGTGCTATTGTTAAGTGACTCAGAGAAGCAGATATCAAGGAAAACAGTAAAACATGAGTAAGCACAAGGTTTCCCATAGCAGGAGGAGAGAGCCCCCCACCTGCTAGAGAATCCAACCCTTTCAGTTGGTTCAATTTTATGAGTGGAATGAGGTTTTGGGGAAGTTATTTTCCATTTAGATCAAACCTTGAAAACTGCTAAGATGTAGTCTTAAAAATCTGTGAGAATTTAAAGAATGTGATGGATGCCTGTGCTTTAGAGGACATAATGAAATGGGAACTAATTCACCCCCGTGACCATCTCAGTGATGGCATCAGGAATTTGAGCACATTATCATTGGTATCCAAACCATATAGCATGATTTATTTGTTACACATTGCAGAACCTGGAATCAGGTAGCAGTGAGCCTGTGGAAAACCATCTGAGTTTACCTGATCATGGTTTTCCTTTAGATAAGGTGATGTTTGTTTAAGCCATTCAGATACAGTGATATTATCTATGATTGCAACTATGGGAGTGTCATGGTAGGGAAGTGAAATGTTCCATAAAACTAAAGGTTTTGTTGAGAGTCGATGGGGTTTTTGGAAAATGATCAGATAATCAAGGCAGCAAGAATAGGTGGATGTCATTATAGGCAGGTGATGGATAAAGGCAATAGCCTTATTGGGTCATGGGGGTGAACATGAGGCATATATGTGTTCCCCGAATTTTTCCTGTCTGACTCCTGGACTCTTCTTTGGTGCCTGGTTGCCATGCTGAGACACTTTCCTCTTCCTGGCCTTTTCTGCTCTTTCTGACTTCCTGCAGGTCTAAAGTGAGAAAAGGTAGGCCATGGACTGCAACCTGTGGATTGTGAACCAAAATAAGCTTTTTGTCTTTCAAATTGTTTATGTCAGGTTCTCACACAACTAGTGACATTTTAAAATCTAAGGAAATTTTATGCAATTTGTACTTGTGAAAAATAATAGCATTTTATTTTTTAACTTGAATTAGAAATATTATTACAGATATTTAATAGAGTGACACTCTATTTATATTTAGATTAATCTATCTTTTATTCATGTTAGCATTAAATTGTGTTTATACCTTTGAAAATGACTGTATGCATGTTTTTCAATGAATTCTAGTTTTATGCAGCTCACTCAGTTTTCTCATATAAGACATAACTATCACATGTAATTCTTGTTGATTTATGTTTTCATCAGTAAAATATTCTATAAATATGCAGAAATTTTTGCAAATCTTTCTAACATACTACCCAATATCTTATTTTTTCATTTTGTTTTGACCTTTTTGTTAATTCATTTAGCAATAAAATATTCTCTCATTTGGATGAATGCATAAACCTGTTAGAAGTTTTTATAATAGGGTTAGTTCTTCTTTAGTTCATCCATGTGTATACAGATCTGGGTTTGGGTTACTACTGAGGGCAGTAAATCGGTGTCACTGGAAACATTTAAATCAGAGCTAAACAACCAGGCCATTGGGATTTTATATGTAGAAGTAAATGAGGATTTTGTTCAGGGAGATTCTCAAAGATCCTTCTCCTGCCCACAGTTCTGGTGAATGTGATGGCTGTGTGGCTTCTCCAGGTGTCCATGCACTGTAGAAGAAGAGCTGAGCTTCCTAGGAATGCTGCGTTCCGCTTCTCCAAAGACCCCACTGTTCTGCTGTCATTCATCATATGCTATCAGGTGTTGGTTGGAGCTGGTTGGGCATTTATCCAGGTATTGGTGAGTAAGAGTGGTTTTGAGTGCTCCTTCTACTTGTGTAAAACATATAAACATAAATGTAGATCATGTAAACAATTAATTATCATATGTCAGGAGAGAGAAGAAAATGAATGACTCAGAGATCTCAAAGTGTAATACATTTTATGCACCAGTAGAAGATGTAAAACGTTCATTGCAGAGGGGCAGAAATATAAGAATAGGGAATGAAAAAGTAATTTTTAAAAGACCAAGGATAACTCAGCATTTATTATATTGTATAATTCATCTAGTTATTTAAATGCATTACATAAATTCATTCTCTCAGCAACTCTGAAAAGCCGCTATGCATCATTAACTCTTTCTTACATCTGAAAACAACACTGGATATGTAGTAAGTTCCATGAAGTCAACAGCCATTGAGTAGCAGACCTGGGTCTGACTTACAGGGTCCATTTCACTTTGTTGCCTTCTGCATATATTTGATTTGGTAAAAGGAAATTCAAATTTCATGCAATTTTCTTTTTCCCATTCTGTCTGTTATGGCCAGGGAAATAGCCTTTTAGTTTCTCTGATCTTTGAAGGCTTGGAAGTGAACAATGTAGATATTTCTTAGGTAATTCTGTTGCATAACTGAGCAGCTATAGCTCAACTCAGTCCACAATTAAGAGTCATGGATCCACTAGGGAGGGAAAGAGAAAGCACTGTACAACTCAGGGGTTACACAGCAGGAGCATATGTGTGTGTCTTTTCATTGGTTGGATGAATATGTACTGAATTGCACGAGTGAGTGTAATCAGTGTAAACAAACAAAGTCAAACCCAGACAAAACAAAACCCAAGGAAACAGCATCTGCTCCCTAAACTTCCAGAGAGAAAAGGTGCATCTGCCTAAATTGGTTTACTGCTTGTTTTTTTCTTAGGGTTGCAGCCATTTGTCAAAGATATTCCCCTAAATCCAGGGATTTAAAAGTGGTGAAAGTCTTGTATCTTGGTTTGAATTTCCACATAGAATATAATCAATCACAGCAAAGAATGGGATCCCAGTAATACAAAACTTATCCCAGGAGTTTATTAAATACTTATATTAGCTACTGTTCAGTTCTTTCTCCTGCTGTGAATGTGCAGATCATTTCATACATTAGGGCAATCAGGAAACAGAATGAAGATAATTGCAGGGGGAAAATTATTGGAAGAATTTATTTCTGATAAAGAAATTATATCCATAATACACAAAGAAATTTAAAAACTCAATAATAAGAAAAGAAATCATGAAATCAAAATCCATTCTTTTTTTTTTTTTGGTACTGTGATTAAACTCATGCCTGCATGCTTGCAAGGGCAGGCACTTATGCCATTGAGCTACGTCCTAGGCCCGAAACCATGCAATCAAGAACAGGTTTGAGATATGTGGTGAAGGAGGTGTATGAGCACCAAGTAGATGCATTAAAGTTTCAGATGAACGTATACTCATAACTTCAAAGATATTCAATGCTTATCTCATGGCACTGATGCATTGCAGATTATCTCTAACCTCCTGGGAAAAACGATTTCATTTCCACAGTACATCACTCACTAAGGCCCTGCGATGAAATCCAAAGTCAGGGTTTGAGTAAGAGAAAAAAGAAAAAAACCTTAATATTTGCAGTTTTGTGTAGCTAATGTTCTTCCTGGCTGACATCTGAAGAAACGGCAGAATGTTGAGAAAGTGTGTAGGAACAATTGTGTGTAACAGAGTTATTTAACGGGGCCAGCAAAATATTTTTTTGGTGGAAATAAAAACATAAGAAAGCATTGCAGGTTTCTGTGGCTTGAGTTTTCAAGTCTATACGGAAGGAATAGGAGAGCCAGAGCATGTTTGACAGTGACAGAGAAATAGCATGCAGCTACTGACAAGCAAAAGAAAAACACACACACACATGATTTTCAGTTTGCAGTTGCCAGCGATGGATGAAGTGAGTGTTAAATGTCCATGAATCAAGGGATAAATTGCTGGTAAAAGGAACAGGAGAATGATGCACAGCTCAGGATTCTCTTTGAATCCCTCAGTCTGAATACAGTAACTTCCCTGATACTCTTTATGGTGAAATCTCAGAGAACAAAATGGAAGATAGCCAAAACTTACAGTTTATCCTTTCATCAAATTGTGATGACCACCGTGATCGTCAAGGGTATGAACAATGTCCATGTGTATTTGTGTGTGTACGGTGTGTGTGTGTGTGTGTGTGTGTGTGTGTGTGTGTGTGTGTGCAGGGTGTGTGTACATGTGTGTATTCTAGCATATGGATTTTATGAAATTCCTTTCCTCTTCATAAAATAGAATGAACCAAATGTTGAACGTGGCAAACATTTATCTTCTAGTGTTAGACTCCTGCTTGTCCTTCCTTCAGGTTATCTTCACCGTCAGGAGAAGGAACACACAGGCACAACTAGGAGACCCATGTCTACCTCTGCAAATGTAAGTTCAGTATTTTTTCTGCTTTGTGTTTGCCAGAAGACAGTTGGTGCTTACTTCCTATGCATGACTTTCTTTCCTTGTGACTGGGACAAAGCAGTTGACAGCAGAGAAGTGGTAAAGTTTGCTATGTTTCACAGTGTCAGTCCCTGGTGAGCTGGTTGCAAGCTAGAAACAGGGTAATGGAGGGCATCGTGGAAGAAAGGCTGCTCTCCTCATGAAGACCAGGAAGCAGGGGGAGAAGGGAGGAGCCAGAGAGAGACATCCATTCCCCCAGGTTCATGGGCCCAGTGGTCAGGCTCCTAGCTATAAGTATCTCTGTGATTTCCTCACATTCTAAAAGCCCAGCCTATAAGTGTAAGAGATGTTAAGAGGGTATTCCAGATCTCAACCATTATTATTCAAAGATTAACTAAAGTACAGGTTACATAGATGAAGTGACCATATTTGTGTGAATTTACTAGACTGTGTTAATTTGATACATGCATGTGGATAGCTATTAACTCAGCTGTGATAGCATATATATCAAAATACACCTTTATCATTCCTTTGCAGTATATAACTTGTAATCTCTTTCACTGTTTGATAAATGATATGGAATATGTGAAAAATAGTACTCAATTCCAATATTTGAACATTTTATTATTCTAATTTTATTGATTGAATTTATTTTTGTCTCTACTGCTAATTTTACTAGCTCCCTTTCTTAAATTCCGTGTGCTTCACAGTGCTAAAATACAATTCCATTTACTCTGAGGGTGTCACTTTACTTTTCACTTTTGTATTTTAGTTGGTTTTCTCTTATTCTTTCATATTGCATCAGTAAAGTGAGTTTTCCCCTTTAATAGGTGAATGCAATATGATTTTCTGAATTATTTTTAAAATATATATTAGGTAACATTATTATACATCTGAAATGTTAATTTCATATTCTACTCTGGCCTATTCCACTTCTCATCACTTCTCATTTTTATTCTCTGTGTCATTAATCTAGCGCATCCAGTATGTCCTATGATTCTGATACTATAACTTGTGATTCATCTTAAATTGAGAATTTCAGTTGAATTTTTTTCAGTTGTATTTCTAATAAGTCTATTTGTGCATTGACTTCTAGGAATTCTTAGTTTATTTTCCCTAATTCTCTTTTTCTACTGCAGCAGTGTATCATATGTTGCATAATGATTTCCTCTTGGAATCATTCAGTTCTCTATTGTATCTTATTTGACCTCATTAAATAATAAATTATTTGATTAATTCAGCTCCTTATTTGTATCATCTTTAATGTAATTGATTGTTTTCAGTATTCTGGTTTCAAATTCTTTGATATTTCAATTGTGATATCAGTAGAATTGGTTTTAGAGAACTGCAAATATTGGGAATCTGTTTTCTTGGCTTTCTGATGAATCTAGTGTGTGTGAGTTTATGTGTCTGTGAGAGACAGACAGAGAGAGAGACAGAGAGACAGAGAGAGAGACAGAGAGACAGAGACAGAGACAGAGACAGAGAAAGAATGTGTGTGAGTGTAATATGTTGAAGTTTGAGGATCACTGGGGTTGGAGAGTGAAAGACCTATTGTGCATAAACCTTTTGAGGAAGTGCCTTATTCATTGTGATGTTTCTTAGGCTGTCAGGGTCCCAGCAGGAAACAATGCAGTCAACCCTTTGTTCTCCAATTTGGCACTAGATTGAGCTCTTAGCACTGTTTCTGAGGACAGAGTAACCACCAAGTATATCGGTATCTGAAAAATAATCCATAAATTCACGTGTAATTTAAAACTTCTTTGAAATATTCTCCAAGTGTTTCATTCCTCAGGAACTGACAGAGGAAGTAATAATTTGGGACCTACTAGGGGAGCAGTAGGCTTTAATGAGAATATTCTTGTATAACAGAAATGAGGGATGGAGTATGTGAGAGACTATGAAAAGAGAAGGAACAAACAAGGGAAGTGAATTTGAATGAAATGTGAGAAAAACATAATGAGATTATCCCAGTGAATGAGCAAGCAGGTGCATGTGTCTGACAGGCTGGCAGGCAGAGGAAAGGGGTCTGTAGGCAGACAAAGGCCTCTTCAGGTTTCCTGGCTAATCCTGACAGGAGCCAGGTAAAGCTTTATTGGAGGGAACATTAAGAGTAAGGCGGGGCTGAAATACAGAGCAGTAGTTAGAGTCAAACTTGGGCAGATGCAGAAACCAGGCAGCCTGCCACTGAGAGAGCTCACCTTACTCTGAAAGCCTTCTCTTGTCACCGTCAAATACATATGAGAATAAATAATGTAATCATGTTGTTCAACTACATGCACTCTTGTTAGTGTTTATCTAACAGCATCATCAGTCATTTGAATAAGAGTTATAGTTGATATAGTAAACACCATTCATGAATATGTGAGCATTTACCCTAGGTATAGGAAGTTATGAAAAGTACTCCGTATAATACTGGAAATACACTCGCATGCACACACACACACACATACACACACACACACACACACACACACACACACACGTATCCACACAGAAAATGTGATACTTAGAATCCTGCAAGAGGATCAGCAATCCTACAAGTGGTACTTCAGAGTAGGAAGTAATTGTGAACTTGAAAAAGAAACAACAAACCGCTAATGAGAAATAACATTAAGAAAAAGGAATGAACAGAAGTCTAGAGTAACTTCAGGACACTATGAAGTAATCTGAGAAAACTGAGCCATCAACAGTTAATACTGATTTCGCAATAAGAAACTGAAGAAGCCATTGGCTATGCAGTTCAAAGCATCCTGGGAAGGACAGCTCTAGAAGAGTCCTCAGTATGTGCACAGAAGGAATACTAAATGCAAAAATTTTAAATTCAGTGTGAAAACACTGCATAATAATAACTTTAAAGTACTAAAGAAAACTTATACTATTGCAATTATAACTTTCAGCCACATATAATAATAACATTTATGAGAAAATAAAGAATTGGGGAAGATTGATTTATATTATGCAAAGTTTCTCATGCAGGAGGTTGTTCAATAAGGGTTGACCTATATAGTCCATGTTTACTGTTTTCCATCACCTGAGTTCAATCTCCAACACCAAAAGAGAAGTTATTTCATATATCATTATGAATACATGAAATTATTTCATATATTAAAGTGACCTTAATATATCATGAATTTTAAAATAAAAGGTCATTACTGCATGAAAAAAGCAAATATATCAAGAATAAAGATATCACCAAATCTTCAAAAAACTTAAAATGGAAAGTAAAATATAGTTTCCTGTTAATGAGTTTGATGATGAAAAAGCAAAATTCTTTAAAGGTACATTAGAAAAAGAGAGATAATAAGAGTAATTGCCTACTTCATAAGTGCAGTAATTTTATGAGAATTATTCATAGGAATGAAATATTAGTAGTAGTTTTTCCTTTGTAAAGCAAATTCTCACCTACCCTTCCCACTGGAATGATGGACAACAGATTGCATGCACTCTCTTTTCATGTGAAAGATGCTAATAAGAGTATTTAAGAAGAAAAAGATAGGGCATCCTGGGCACTGAATTACTTGCCCAAAGCAGGCAAATTGAAAATAACCTGAGCAATAGGATAAGTATGAAGCAGCAGGAAAACCAGTGACAGCCATCAACGCTGTTTTATGTCAGACGAGTCTATTTCTGAAAATTATATTGTGCTAGGAAAGCTGTTTGCTGGTGTGATTAGCCTGCCTGTAATCAGGAACCATCTGATAAGTGTTCTCTCCACTGACCTCTGTTTTAGTAAATGTAACGGCAGTATTACTTTCTACTCATTAATTATTCGGATGCAAAAACGTGTTCATAATTTGTTGCACAGCATTGTAGTTTTTTAAAAAATCATATTGTATTTCATAGCACATTGACCTTACAGCAAGAGAGACAGCATGATATCTTCAATTATTTCAGAAATAATTTCCATTTTGTGATATGTGTAGTGATATAAGAAATGAGTGGGCAAAAGGAAATAGTTCAGATGTTCCTTCTAGCCAGTAGATTGTATTATGCTTACTTACTAACATGATATAAATGCTTTGTACCCTGTGTAATAAAGGACATAACATATACCTAATTTATTTAGAATTATAAAGTTTCCTGAATTTATATATTATTTGCAATGTCAGATTCTATTGATGTGTTTCATACCCAAAACCAACAGCAAACTTTCAAACTCATACACATACATAAAAATGAATGTAAGAGTGCTGGGGTGTAGCTCAGGGGCACAAGTGCCTGCCTGTCAAGTGTGAGCTCTTGAGTTTGATTTCCAGTACCAAAAAAAAAATCATGTAAGGAAGAAATCACATGTAGTAAACATAACTGAAAAAAGACAACAGCATGTAAATGTATGAAACTGAAGACTTTTATGTTTTGAGAGATGAGCCCGAACATTTTAAATAATACATACATACATATTAAATTATTAATTAAATTGCAAAGAAAAACAACTAGAAATATGTACAAAGATAGCATTCATAAAATGTAGATACAAACAAATAATAAATGATAATTTTCTATAACATTCATGTAGAACAGTGTGTGATTTTGTCACTAACTCAGAAATATGAGCAATACAATAGAATGTAAAATATACAAATGAATTCATCAAAAGTTTTGAATTAGTAAAAGACTGATAAACGTCAGTCCAAATAGAGTTTTTGTATTTTACTTTGGATATGCAAAGTACAAATATAAAGTGTATTCAATATTAAGACATACTAGCTTCCTAAACTTAACAGTTTAATTTAATTTAATATTTAACTAATATTTAACTAATTTAATATTTAACTTTATTTAGAATGCAAAGTGGATAACTTCTTATCTTTTTTAAAACTTTGTAGGTTTTGTGTTTATACATTAACAAAACAGTGCTATTGCCCTACACGTTTGACATCAATCTTCTGCCATATTCTGTCATTCCAAAGTGTGGGTGAGGTGATCACTCAAAGCGAGAGACCTGCTCCTGTCCACACTCTGGCAGGAGCTCATATGCAGAT